AAGACTCCTACAAATGCTGGACGTAGATTCTACAAATGCCCTCGTTTTGATGAAGAATCGTCATGTGGTCTTTGGAAATGGCACGACCAAAATATGCCACCACATTTGACAATAGTGATAAGCAACTTGAATGACTCATTGAAATGTGTAGAAGTAGAAAGGAATTATTTGAAGAAGATGGTGGCTGACTTAGAGGATGTTGTTTGCCAAGAAAAGGTAAAGATGAAGAACAATGTGGCAGAAATGGAGGGCATTAAATCAACAAATTTAGTGGTAGTGTCTATGGTGGAGGATAAATTACGAAGGATGAAGTTTTTTGTTGTTATTTCGTGGGCTGTCTTTATTCTGATTTTAGTGGCCAGGAGTTAGTGATATTTGATTATTTTTGTTGTCAAGAGCAATGTAATGGTTCTTTTGGGTTTTTAATGTGTTTCAGTTTGGAGGATAAATACAATGTAATGTGTTTTGTTATTTTCGACCAAACACAAGTTTGTTTCAGTTTTATGTGTTTTCATTGAATTTAAGTTATTTTGTTCAAGTTGAAATGTACTTGAAATGTTCTTGAAATGTTCTTACAAGGAACTGCCCATCTATTAATAGTATCATTTATCCTAACAAGAGAAATGACAATAAAGTTGGAACAAAAGAAGGCTCGACTATGGAGATTAATTAAAGATGCAAACATACATTGTTGTTGGAATATTTACCTAACAAAAATAGCTATTAGAAAAGTAAATATGTGAGCCAAAAACTTACACCAATCTCACAATATTTACTTGTCTATTAACATAGAAGTGAGTTACTTGTCTATTACAATCATCACAAAAACAAATTATCAATTACAGTCATCCCAAATAACTTATTACTTTACTTCCCCTTTCCCTTTCTAGTTTGAAGCTTTCGAATTTTTTTCTCCTTCGCACCCAGTAACTGATTTCAGGTCATTGCTTGCTTGCCTTTCCAAGTAGTCCTTGTAGGGGAATATGACAGATTTGTTGGTTGTGAGCTACCAATGTAATCTCCTGTGAAGTTTATCTTCCTTGTCCCAGTATTTTGCTGTTATTCTTCACTTGAAGCCTTGTCATAATCTCAGAAACAACTTTAGGCCTCAATACTGGGTCAGGTTCAGTCCCAATGTCTGAATCAATTAGTCTTCTTGGAGTGTACTTGGTTATTTTCTGACTTGGTTGTTGAGAAACATCACTGGCTTGCTGAGTGGGAAGCTGACTGAACTGAGTTGCTTGCTGACTGGACTGAGAAACATCACATTGTTGTTGAGTTTCTTGATGAATGGACTGAATAGTCACATTACATTGTTGAGTTGCCTGCTGACTGGACTGAGTAGTCTGAGTGTATTGTTGAGTTGTCTGCTGACTGGATTGAGTAGTTTGAGTGGACTGCTGAGTTCCTGACTGAGGTATAAACCCAGGATTAGGGATCATAACAAACTCAGATGGTTCACTGGGTTCCTGCCCTGGCTGAGGTATCCCTTCTAGCTGCATAAGGTGAAATAAACTGGTTAGTGTCTTTAAACAAGCATAAATAATAAGATAACTACTGTTAGATGTCTTTACCTTCATTGGACATTTTCTTTGATTGTGATTTTGTTTTCCACAGTAACCACAATGCATTTTAAGGCCTTTCCTAGAAGCTGCCCATGTGCCTTGCCTATTAATAGCCTCATCTCTCTTGTCCTTTTGACTTTTGGTCTACCAACCATCTTTACTAAGGTTGGTGGATCCATGGCCTTCCAAAATTTCTCACCCCTAACAGGTTGGAGCTTGTGTTGATACACCAACTGGAATGCCTCTTTTGAATACCACCAGTGAATCTCTGTCTTTGGATCAAGCTTCTTGTAATTGAAGGCCCTGATAGCATGAGGACATGGAATGCCAAACAAGTCTCATATCCTACATGTGCACTTCTGCAGCTCAGGAATAACAGTGTGTCTGTCTGCACCTTGTGATACTTCATAACCCCTGTCTATATTGAAAAATGAAGTACAATCTTGTGCCATCTCTCTATAATCATTATAAAGCTCCATTGCATATGGATTGTAGTCATCTTTCCAGCTACTCACTTCATCTCCATGGTCCTTTAACAAAGTCATTACCTTCATATAACAATATAGTAACACTAAACAATCACATTAAAAACAGATTGATTTTTTAAAAAAAGTGGAAGGAAACAGTATAATAAAATAGTCTACTGTTAATTAACTTCACCTTCACTTTGATAGTTTCAAACATCTTCACAATGGGCTGTTGTCTAGCTTCAAGAATCCATGAGTTGAAAGACTCAGTGAAGTTATTATCCACCATTGGGTTCTTGCATTGGGTGTCAAAATATGCTCTACACCAGCTAGAGGGTGGATACTTCAACAAGTCTTTCACACAATCCTCAGATACTTCACCTAGTTGCCTCAGCATATCCTTAAATTCTTCTTCATATGTGCTCCAGGCAGACCACCAAAGTAGCTTTTTCATCTCATCACTATGCCAGATCTTACACCAATTTGCTCCAATGTGCCTCACATAAAATCTATGATGAGCTTCTGGACATACTTTCCTAACAACATCCAAGAGTCCCTGCATGTCAAACAAATCTGGATAAGTGTAGTTGTCACTATAAGGAAAAAACTAATTTTAAAAAAAGAAGTTAAAGTACCTTCTGCATATCTGACATGAAGGTTATTCCTTCACCTTCTTTCAAATCTAAAGAACTCTTCAAGTTCTCCATAAACCAGTGCCAAGTTCTAGTGTTTTCCTTGTCTACCACAACCCAAGCGAATGGATAAAAATGTTTCATAGAATCTTGACCCACAGCCACCAGCAACATACCTTGGCATTTTTCTTTTAAAAAAGTACCATCAAGTCCTATAAAAGGTCTCAAACCTGCTTTGCACTGCTTTGCAGTCATTCTTGAGGGCCTGAAAGCACACATACATTCTTAAGAATCTCCTTTTACCTTTTTCCAAAGCATCCTTGGTTATCTGGATAACCACATCAGAACCAGGGTTGCTCTCCCTCAATTCTTGGGCATATGCCTCCAACTTGTTGTACTCATCTAAGTAGCTACCTTTTAGTTTCTCTAACACTATCCTTTTCACTCTCTTTAACTTTGACTGACTCATATTTAGCTTAAATCTCTCCTCCAGGTCACTCTTCATTTCTTTCACCTTGCACTGGGATTATTTTGAACCTTTCTCTTAAAATAATGAGCTAAGGTAGCAGGAGTAGCTCTGCTGTTCTCAAATGCTTTCCCACATTCATGATTAGCATGTAAAGTCTTTATTTTGCACCCTTGGTTATCTCCATCCTTAGAGATAAGACATTTAAAGGGACAACCAACAACACACTTATATCTAAGTCTCTTCCTGTCATTCTTAACTACCTCTAAAGCCTTCTTATTTGCAACAGAATAAAAACCAATAACTTCTTTCGCTTCAGCAAGATTCTTAAATGTCATACCCTTCACCAAGATTTTGTACATATCAAGTTGGTCTATTACCTTAATTTTTCTTTGCTTCTTAAATACCCCCAACACAACATCACTATCATAATCACTTTGCACAGGTTCATCATCTGTACCCTCTTTTCCACTATCACAATCAATCGTAGCAGTTATATTTTCTCAATTGGTATCAGCACGTTGAGTTATATTAGGAACAACAACAGTATCATCAAGGAGGTCAATAGCAAATAAATTAATAACCCTAAGAGTTTCATTAATAAGTGACTGAAGCTTCCTAATTCCTTCATCTCCATCCAACAAATAATATCTACCACATGGAGTAGTAAATATCAGCTGTTGTACCTCAACATACCCTAGTACATTAGTGTATTCATTACACAAATCAATGTACGACAAATTATCTACTTCATAAGATAAGGTGGGTTCCAGTTCCCAATCACCATCATGATTAAAATATAAATCTACTTTGTCGACCATTCTTCTGACATATCCACATGCAACAAAAAAATTACAAAAAAGAGGCCCACAACAGTTATGAATAAAATCAAAAAGATATCAAGCAATAAAGAAAACGGAAAAGGACCACAGTTATGTTGACTAACACCCGCCCAACAACATATACAAAAATAAAAAAAAAAAAAACCCTAACTTTTTCATGTCGGACAAAGACGATTGGGACCACTCCAAACAAAAATAAAAAACAAATGCATAAAGGATACTGGAATAATATCATATGACCTATTAAACAAAAAGAAAGAGACAACATTTACCGAACCCTAAAAGATAACCAAAATCAGTAAATACTTACTTTTATCAATGAGTAGTCAGTCGAATAAGGCTATAAATGAAATATTCTTCAGTTTTAGTCCACCAAATCGAAGCAGATAGCAATCCTAATTAAACCCTAATGCACCATCACTGAGTAGGTGAAGAAGACGGGGTTTGATGAAGAAATAAGGTTAAAATAAAAAGGGTAGGTGAAATATATTTGTTTTACCATGGGTTGTACCGAAAAATGGGGCGGGTGGATATTTGGGGCGGGTTGTAAGTGACCTGGGGCCATATAGCCACGTGACGCAATGAAATCTTGACAAACGCATTAAATGGGGGACCACAGATGGCTCCGTTAGTCGCGGGGGTAATATCAGGCCCAAAGATAACCTTGAATGTATTTTCGGATAAATAGGTGGACGGAGCTCGATACTAAACCATTTGAGATACTACAGGGGTATTTTTAGCCCTTTTCCGATAAAGCTTTTTTAAATCTCATCCTTTCTTGCCGGTATAAACTTGTAGCAACTTAAACTTCAGCAAGAATAATGAAAACGATTTTTGAAGTTCCTTTTAAATTCTATTTCTCTAATTTGAGCAAAAAGCAATGCTATAAATTGTGCCTTCTAATTTGGTCGAGACCAGTATCTTATATAAACATTGAAGTTTGTTATTCTTTCACTTATGTTTCTATCATTTCTTCTCAAGTCAAATAGTGAATAGTTAATGATCATGAAAGAGAACAAATAACTATATAAATATAAATAACTTTCTTACGATATTTCATGCCCATAACAGTTGAGTACATGTATAAAGTCATATAACTTGAAATAAGAAATGGGGCAAATCGGAAAAACTAGGAAAAGCCCCTAATATTAATTACATTTACTAGTTAGTTAGTAGTTAGTAACTAGCATCAAAACAAATACTGAATGACACATAAACCAGAAGGACTGCACCATGGTACATTAGTTACAACCATAGAGCCCTCATATTCAAATGGAACATCATCCCCGTTGATCCTACAAGCTCTTGGCTTTTCAGAAGCAAAGATCCTCATTTCGCCCGCGCCCTTTACTTCAACTTCAACTGAATTAGCTTCGTCGTCGAGCTCAATAGATTGGATCGCTCCACCAGTATTGAGCATATTCCCGAGCCCGATCGGAGCGAATTGAACCAATTTGGCACCCAAAATAGTGACGGGAGAAACTGTTAAGAGCTCGAAGTTGAAGGGCTCGAGAGTAATTTGGACTGTGTCTGTGGGCTTTGCCAAAACCAGCTTCTTTTCTTTGAAGGAGTAGAGCACAAAGGTTTCAATTCCTTCCACGTAAATTGGGCTGGATCCATGCTTCCATTCGACGTCTTTTGGGCCGGCCCAACACGTTACGGCCTTGGAATATTGAGAAGCGCAGGTGTTACGTCTTGCCTCACGGTCCCAACCGCCACCTTGGCAGTTAAATGCTCCAACAACTCCAATATACTGAAATTGGAACAAAAAAAGAAAAGGTTAAATGAGAGCCATTTTATAAATAAAAAAATCTATATTTAAAAAAAATAAATTCAGGAACTTTTTCCTGAAAAATGTGTCTTATCGTTTTGTACTTTGGTTGGCAAGTGGATATATCTTTTTCACAAGAAAATACAAATGAAGAATTATTAATAATTTTAACAGATCGGAATTTTGAGTATAATGTGCAAGTATTAGTTGGAGCATGAAGTTAAAAGTTCATTGTTAAGAAAATGACCTATGCCCAAAAGAGAGGGAGTCATTTTTCGCTTTGATTGAAAATAGTTTCCTTGAAAAAACATTAATTATTGTTAATCAAAAACCAAAAAAAAAACTTTATAATAAGAAATACTTTTCGAAAAAAGACTTCTTTCATACAAAACATATTAATGTAAAACGAGGTGCAAGTATTATTTTACTCGGTATTGTAAACTTATTTGAAGATCTAATCCGGAATAATATAAATGAGGTATGAATGAGGTGGAGTCAGAATTTAAAATTGGGGTATTATCACATTTAGCCCACACCAAAAATTATTTACATTCGGTAGTCGAAAGTATAAAATTCATATAATTTTTGTATATAACATACATAATGTATATATATACAATAAATATACAGTATCAATTTCCCTTTATAATTTATAGTTGTAAACTTGCTATTACAATACAATTTAGTTGATTAGTTCACAATTAAATATTAATATATATTTCTTGAACTTCAAAATATAAATGCAAAAACTAAGTAAAAATTACTGGGTTCGTTCGAACCCGCACATAATACTCTAGCTGGGATGATATCTTACCTTGTTTAGGTTCCATATTTTGAGCATAGTTTTCCCATTATGAAGTGGATCTTCAAATAGGCAGTCACGCGTGGGAAGTGCGTAGTGTTGGCAACGCAAGATTGAACCATCAGGCAAAACCAAAGTTTTAAGAAGGTCAAAGTTGTGTTGCCCTACCGAGTCACTAACATAAATAGGACCACCAGAGATGGCTCGAGACGCGGCGTGGAATTCAGCACAAGGGTGCGTGGACTGAAACATGTCCCAATCAGGGTGAATGAAATTGCCCATCCACAAGCTATTGTAAGCACAATGGACCATGTGGCAACCTTGTAGCCAGAATGTACCATTTGGGTCTCCAGAAGGATCTGTGCACCAAAAGTCATCTCCTGCACATTCACCAAAAAATCAAAAGCCCATTTAATTTCCCAAAAAAAATTACATTTACTGGACATAAACTTATATGCATTACAATAATCACGTCTCAATCACAAGCAAATAATGATCGAATTTGTTATTTGATGAACTCAATAAATATTATTTCCAAAAAAAAGAATAGGTAGTCTATGAAAGTTACGTATAACTATTTTGTAGATAATTTTAGTGTAATTTTTTTATGTCATCGGTATATAGAAATTATATTACTCCATTGTTTAATGTAGGGGCGGATCCAGAATTTGAAATTTATGGGTTCCTACCGTAATTTTAAATTAATATAAAATAATTAATTGAATTTTAATAGAAATATAGCGTCTATGCAAAAGTTATTGGGTTCCCGGGAACTCAGTAACAATACTCTAGATCTGCCAAATGGTTTAACATTTGAGGAAGCTTATATAATTTGATTTGCCAATTATGAATTATCTATTTAGTTTTATTCCCTATCATGATATCAGTAATCTATATACGTGTCCTCCTTTATTAATAGTCATAAATTAGTTCCATTAACCTGCACCAATTAATTTCAGTTACATACCTACAAGACAGGGCTAATATCAACCACGCACTTAGTTATATTTCCCACTTATTAATACTTGCCAAAAAATAAGGGAATGATGGTGTGAAAAGCATGGATGTTAGTATCATATTTTGGACATTGCAACATTTAGAAAAGAATTTAAGTTTTACCAACTTAAACTTAAATAAGATAGTCATATCTCCATGTCTTATTTTTGCAACAGTCAATATATAAAGGATAAGATAATACAGATTAGAATTTGATAACTTACCCACACGACCAAGGGAAATAGTCTCAGTACCAAGAAACATAAAATCATTGCAATGCTCCATACTAGCAATGACTCCATTTCCTTTAAAATGTTTTTTCACTGAAGATGTCAATGCTTTATAGTAAGCCTTTGCCAAATCCACTCTTCCACCATAATCCTCACATAGCATTTCCAGCAACTACATATCGATTACATAAATAAATTTTTTAACTTATATATACTGACAGTATAAAGAAAATTAACTTACGATGGTACAGAGAAGAAAGTACTTACATGAATAACGTCAACTTTGACTCCGTCAATCCCAACCGACTCCAAGTGGGAGTGTAGACCCTCATATAGCTTATCGACAATTTCTGGTGGGACCAAACCAATTCCATTGTTCACTATTTTATCAACTGCCAAATCTTCCATTGTCTTCTCCAATCCAGGTGTTAGCTTAGGCCTAATAACCTTGGATTCGGGTAGACCCGATACCCCTGGCCTTAACCCGCCCCAATACCCACATAGAGCATGCCACACATATACAAAGTCCACGGTCTTGAACTCCTCCTTTAGGTCCTTAATAAAAGCACCCATGCCCTTGTTATTATGGTCACCCTGTCCTATGCTTTTAGGACTCACATAATCTCTGAACTTGTAATTCTCCTGGAATTTAATTAGCCTGCACGGCATTTGCTCACCCGCAGAAGTTCTGTTTATACCTGTTGAGACGTAATTTAATTACGTAACTTAAAAGAAAATATTTTTAACAATTTAAACTTTTAGATAAGATAATGGATCTGTGTATTTAATATTGTTTTGTACCTTCTGAGGTGATTGGATCATCGTCGTGACAAATGGATTGCCAACCATCGTCGATCAACACGAGCCCAGGCGGGCACCCACCTTCAACTAACCCTTTCACACCTTCCCACACCCCTTGAGGGTGCACCGTAAGGTAAAATGCATCCCATGTGCACCAACCAAACTTATCCACAATTCCTGGGGGTTTTTTTTCCTCCAGGAGCTTAAAAGTGCCTAGGTGAAACCTGACAACTTTAATTGCATCTTTAACCAAGCTGTATGGATCATCACCTGCATCATAGACGAATTCAAAATTTAATCTTAATTTACTATTTTTTTCTATCCCAATTAATATGACAATTATTGCTTCTCGAGATTCAGTCACTTACCTGCATGCATGTAGAGTACACTCCGAAACGAGTCGCCGGTGACTTTAGTGGACCCGCTTTCGACACAAATATCGACAAAGTCATCTTTTCCGGGCTGTAGAGAAGCCCGAAACGGGCCTTCAATAAGCGGGAGAAGCAATACATAGGGCCGGGCCGAAGAATCAGACTTGTCAAGAATGACCATTTGGGTCTCGTGCTCCAAATCTCGTCCGTTGGTTCCGGTCCAGTGAGTAGTCCACCAGACTTTGAACCGGAAAATACTCATGAATTTTATGTCCTTCAGTTTCCCTATTGAAACAACGTGGTGGCTTTTGGCTTCAGGTGTCTCAAAGCCCAAAAAGCAACCGGGAGTGGAAGTTACCGGTTTGTCCTTGGTTGTGTAGGGTGATGGCGTTGCAACAATATTATCTGGGACTTGAGAGAGGATAATTTGGTCATTGACTATGAAATTCGAATTTTTCAGGCTAATAGCTGACCCATGCAAAGGGCCATCAACAAGAATTTTGAAGTTTTCATCAGCTTTGTTCAAACTAGGAGCCATGGATATCAGTTAGTAAGTAATCAGGAAATATTTAGGTGCTTTAATTTGTATAGACGAATAAGAATACGTTATACAGATGAAAGAATATTTAAGGAAAGAATGGAATGAAGAATCAGTAATGATTTGAAGTGATATCGAAAGTAATATGGTATGTAGCTTTTTTTGTGTGTATCGTTAAGAGTAAAATGAAGCTATGAGGATTTGGTTTGGGACAATGCAGATTTATAGACACATAAAATGGTGACGAATGAGCAGGTGAGAAACTTCATAGGAAGAACCAGTTTAGAAGAATTGAATTTTGATAGATTTAGGTGGGGCAGACTAAAGTGTAACATAGCTAATTAATATCATCCACCTGTCCTTATCATCGAGAAGATTTCTTGTACTCATTTTGGCAAAAGTTTGAAAGTGACGGGTGATTTCACTCTGGTATTAACCGAGAATAACGAAAATTTTTATTTTGTGTCTCACAACTGTGTGGGTCCCAGAATTTTATGGATCCAGATGTGTAAAATATAGGTCCACAAATATATGAGATAAAAAGAGGCCTCACACAATTAATGTAAGTTGTGTGAGACACAAAATAAAATCACTCGAGAATAACTAGCTAGAGGAGGGGCGTATGTGATAATAACGGGTTCAATTGAGCCCATAACTTGGGACTAGGAGTAAACTTATATGTAAAAATTCACTAGAATTACAAAAAATAGTAGATATTAACCTGTAATTTTAAAAATATAATAGGTTCAATGCTAAAAAACTTAAAATTGAATCAATAGAATTTAAATTCTAGATCTGCTTGTCAGCCCGAGAACACTTTACTAGAGAGCACCAAATATTTCTTTTTCCTGTTTCTTTCTTGCTTTTAAGAGTTTCTTTATATTCTTCTAGAAAAGTCTATGAGAATATCTATACTCTTTTTTTCCATATAGCGAAAACCTTTTGTTTTCTTTCTCTTTTTATTTTTGTATTTAATGCTGTTGTTTAATAAAAAAAGGGAACATGAGTCAGTGTAATGTACCGAACTATCGAAATAATATCTAAACAGTGAGAAGAGCAATATTATCTGTGATACAAAACGAAAGCAAGTCTTAATACAAAGGAAAGCTGATTTTCAACAATTACAAATGAATGAGAGAAAATGTGATGACCTAAAAGGTCATCTTATGATTTAAAATTAAATTTTGCGTTCCGAGGTCTTAAAGATCTCATTTTATCCCTCCTCGATTTGCGTGCGTAGTCTCCGCGTGATTCCGGAAAGCTTCTATTTTGAAAGTTGATGAAAATAATAATTTTTGCCTTTAAAAGTTGATTTAGTTGACTTCGGTCAACATTTTGAGTAAACGGATCCGGACTCGTGTTTTGACGGTCCTGGTGGGTCCGTATCGAAATATGGGACCTGGGCGTATGCCCGAAATCGGATACGGAGGTCCCTAACCCGAGTTATGAATTTTTGTTAAAAATTGTATGTCTTAAAATTTAATGGTTTTTAAGAAATTGTTAATGTTTGATGTTGTTGGTATCGGGTCCGTATTTTGGTTCCGGAGCCCGGTACAGTTCAATATAACATTTAAGACATGTTTGTGAAATTTGGGAAGAAACGGAGTTGGTTTGATGTGATTCGGGCGTTCGGTTGAGAAAATAAAAATTTTCTTGAGAATTTAATTTGATTTGGTGCTAAATTCATGGTTTAAAATGTTATTTTGGTGATTTGATCGCACGAGGAAATTCGTATGATATTTTTAAACTTGTGTGCATATTTGGTTTGGAGCCCCGAGGGATCGGGTGAGTTTTGGATAGGCTTCGGAGTGATTTGAACTTGAAAAATGTTGCTGGTGTTGGCCTCTAATCTCTCAATTGCGAGACCAGAGTTCGCATTTGCGAAGCCTGACAGTGTTGCAATTGCGAGCTACTCATCGCAAATGCAAAGAATAGCTCGGCCAAACAGTTTTGCGAAGTAAAGCTAGGAGGGGCATTGATCGCAAATGCGATCATTTAGTCGCATTTGCGAAGGTACCAGTTCGCAATTGCGAACTTATCTTCGCAATTCCGAAGGCAACAGAGATGTGAAGGACCTCGCATTTGCGATGGTCCCTTCACATTTACGAGCTTCGCAATTGTGAAGCTCAGGTCGCAAATGCGACATCTGCAGCTGTGTAAAACCTAACTTAGACAGGATATTTGCTCATTTCTCAAAATTTTCAAAACAAGAAACTCTCTAGGCGATTTTTCAAAGACCATTTCTTCCCCAAATCATAGGTAAGTGATTCTTAACTAGTTTCTTCAATCTTTCACTTCATTTTAGAAGATTTCAACCTAGAATCTAAGATTTTCATGATGGAATTGGAGATTTTTGGGTAGAAACTAGAGATTTTAAAATTTGGGGATTTAAACCTCAAATTGAGGTCGGATTCCAAACTAATCGTACATCCGGGCTCGGGGGTGAATGGGTAATCGGGTTTTGATTAGAATTTTGAGTTTGGACCAAGCGGGTCCGGGTGTTGACTTTTGTTGACTTTTTAAAAAATAGCCTAAATTGAATTCCTTGCTATGTAGTTCCTAAGGCTTAAATTGAATCGTTTGGTTGGTAATTTGCTAGATTCTATTGGTCCAGAGGCTTGTGTGAAGGGAAAAGCTGTAATTGAGCTTTGAGTTTGGCCGTTGGAGCGAGGTAAGTGTCGTGTTTAACTTTGACTCGAGGGATTAGGAACCCTTGACTTATTTGCTATGTGATAATCCATGTAAGTGCCGCATAGGTGAAGGGACAAGTACCTATGCGCCGCCAATTTTTTTATTTTGCATGTTTCCTTTTCGTTCTTCTTGTATTGCCTTCCCTGCCTTAATTGCTACATGCTTACTGGTATTTCCATTCTTAATTGCTATTTGTCAGACATTGCTTTTCATTGTTGAATGTAATAGCTATCCCGTAGTTTTATTGTCTCATATTATTGGCCTAAGCTGGTTTATCAGTGTTTTATGGTGTATTATGAATTGGTTTAACTGAGTAGTATTAATTGTGTGAAATTTTATAATGTACAAGCTTTCCGTTTGCTTTAATTTGAGGTTTAACTATTGTGAAGAGTTTTGAGTTAAATTGTGAAATTTCTGTACTTATTGAGTAATTGATGCCGATATGGTATGATCGGGTTGCGCGCCGCAACAGGAGGAATAAAGGTGATATATTGAGGAGGAATAAGGGTGAAATGCTATTATACGGTGGGATCGGATTGCACGCCGCAACAGGAGGAATAAGGGTGGATTGATATGGAGTAATAAGGTGAAATGCTATTATACGGTGAGATCGGGTTGAACGCGCAACTGGAGGAATAAGGGTGGATTGAAATGGAGTAATAAGGGTGAAATGTTATTATACGGTTGGAACGGGTTGCACGCTGCAACAGGAGGAATAAGGGTTGATTGATATGGAGTAATAAGTGTGAATATTCATATTGATATTGATATATGGTGGGATCAGGATGCGCGCCACATAAGTTTATGTGCTTGTGTATCTTTCTTCTACTATGTAGGTTCTTTTGTAGCTTTGCATTTCATTTAAGGATTGGTTATAGCTGAATACTGATAAGACACTTGAGTTCCGTATTCATTCCTTGCAAGTTACTACTTCATTTTGTCCTGTCCCTCCTTCTTCTTTTATTATACACTGTTTGGAGGTTATATTGTAATTTCCCCGCCATAGCCTCGTCACTACGTCGTCGAGGTTAGGCTCGACATTTACCAGTACATGGAGTTGGTTGTACTGATACTGCACTTTGCACTTTTTGTGCAGATTTTGGAGCAGGTAGTGGCTGATCGAGAGGTCGGGTACATATATTTTTGGCTAGGAGACCCAAGGTAGTCCTGCTGGCATCCGCAGGCCCCGGCGTCCCCTTCTATGCTCCTACATTTACTATTTTTGCTTCCTTTCATAAACATTGTATCTTCTTTCGAACAGATGTTTGTAGTAAATCTTAGTGCGTTCGTGGATTGTGATACCGGATTCTGGGTAGTAATAGTTATAGTATTGGTAATAGCATATAAACAAAGAGGCTATTTATTTACTTCCGCATTTATTTTTACTTACTTTAGCTTGTTTATTGTTAATCACTGAAACGTAAAGGATTTGGCTAGTTAAACCTCTGACGTTGGCTTGCCTAGCAAGTGTGATGTTAGGCACCATCATGGTCCCGATGATGGGGATTCCGGGTCGTGAAAAGTTGGTATCAAAGCACTAGGTTGCCTAGGTCTCACAATTCACGAACAAGCTTAGTAGAGTCTGAGGGATCGGTATGGAGACGTCTGTGCTTATCGCCCAGAGGCTTCAGAGTTTAGGAACAATTTCACTTTTGTTCTTCTCTGTCGTGCGATTTTGTTCTCTCAATGCTAAATTGAACCCTCTACTCTTGTTCTTTCGCGGATGGCGAGGTCACGTACCGCTTCTTTAGCTGAGCAGCGCACAGACCGGTGACGGTTCAACTATGTCTTCTGAGGCTTTGTGGAGATTGGATATATTTAGAAAGCTCTTCCTAGTTCAATTTAGCGGTGCATCTTCAGAGGATTCCTAGGGCTATTTGGACAGATGTCATGAGGTGTTACTGAACATGTGGGATAGTGGAGACCAGTGGGGTCGACTTTGCTGCATTTTATTTGTCGGGTTCCGCCAAGAAGTGGTGGAGGAATTATATGTTCACCAAACCAGGTTGGTCGCTTGCTCTTACTAGGGACCAGTTCTATCAGTTATTTCTTGAGAAGTTTCTTCCTATCACTCAGAGAGGGGACTATCGGAGGCAGTTCGAGCGTCTGCAGTAGGGTTTTGTGACTGTCACTCAGTACGAGACTCGATTTGTGGATCTGGCCGGTCATGCTATTCTTCTGCTTCCTATTGAGAGAGAGAGAGAGAGAGAGAGAGAGAGGTAGGTAGGTTTAGTGGTACGGGTACTCGGTCCTCGACGTANAAATTTCTTTTCGGACGGCAGTCAAGATGGTTTTAGCTCAGGGGAGTGGTCAGGGGTCTAATAAGAGACCTCATCATTCAGGTGGTTTCAGTAGTGCCTCATCTGGAGGCAGGGGTACTTTCGGTAGAGGTCATCCTCCCAGGCCATATCAGTCAGCGCTTCAGGTATCCCACAGTGCTTCAGGGAGTCGAAGTCTTTATGTGCCTCCTTCTGGGCAGCCAGCCTACAGTGCACCGCCAACTTCTATCAGTGCACCTCC